ATCATTTTTTTCCTCCCCAATTTATAAAAAACTTATTAAGATAATTACTTTATCTAGAATTTACATGATTTATTATTAATTAGATTAATATTTCACTAATTTATTTATTATTTTATTTCATATAAAATTTAAGTTAAATTTCTAAAGGTTTCCACATTCCATCCCATTTATAGAAAATTTTTCTTTTTAATTATCATTTCTCTACCAAAAATTACCTTACCTTTTCCAGCATTGATATACCAGTGTTAAGCTGTGTGTTTACAATGTTTTGTTTGAAAAAAAAAAAAAAAAACAGAGAGAAAGAGAAAAAAACCTAGGCACATGGATGTGCCCTTCCGATCTCATGGATGCCTCGGGTTTCTGTGACGCCAAGCGCGCAAACCTTTCCTCCCATACTTAAGTGTGCCTTTCCTTTCTTAAATAGCCTTTAAATTTTTATTTTATTTTTTTATTGAGTTTAAAATAAAACTCTCTTAAAAACAAATTTATTAAAATAATAGTAGTTAATTACATAAAAATAAAATTTTAAAAGCACTACCCTAGTATTACATATATACTATATCTTTTGGTGTATAAAAAAGCTTAAACTCAGTTTAAGATTCAAAAGATAGCACCGTTTTATTTTTATTTTAATGAAAAAAAAGAAAAAAAATAGAAATTGAGCCTGAAAGTGGACTAGATCCATCAAATTTTACTGGGCTGTTGTTACATTTTGATTTGGTTTATATGTTGTTGGATTAAATAATTATAGGGCATTTTAACAATTCAATCTCGTTTTCAGGCCATTCATTTCAAGTGGGGTTTGGCTGCATTTCATCATATCCACGTTGTAAAGAGATATATTTTGGCATTGTATTCTAAAATATTTTTGAATTTTTTTTACTTTTTAATTAATTTTTTTATATTTTTAAATAATTCTAATATATTAATATTCAAAATAAATTTTAAAAAAATATTATTTTAATATATTAGAAAACAATGTAGATAGCATAGCATTCCATAGCCACCGAATTCCCGTTGTCTATTCCGAGGTTGCTCAGCACATCTAGAAAAAAGCTTTAGTTATTCTTGTTGCAGATAGCATAGCATTCCATAGCCACAGAATTCCCGTTGTTTATTCCGAGGATGTTTGGTCGGAAATTTCCGAGGATTGAAAAACGTGATTATATCTTACTAAATATATGTTATTTTGTGTTTTAAAAGTGATTTAAAATTTTATTATTATTTAAAATTAATTTTTTTAATGTTTTTATATATAAATATCAGCAAAGAAATATTTTAAAAATTAACCATTAAAAAAAAAAAAAAACCTCGAAAACGTATGCGCAAAATGGCTCTGTTATTGAGCGTGCAATATATGCTTGGGCCAAAAAGAAACAGAATTGGGCATTCTTTATGGAGAAAGAAAACTCTTCAGATGCATCAGTTGCCCTGATTGTGGGTATAACTGGCTTGGCAGGATTTAGCTTGGCTGAGGCTCTACAGAAGCCAACAACTCCAGGCAGGCCGTGGAAGGTGTATGGCATAGCGAGGCGTCCCCTGCCAAGATGGTTTCCCGCTTTCTTGGTCGACGGTTTCGTATCTCTTGATGCCTTAGACCGTGCCGATACAGCAAACAAACTCTCACCTGTGTCCCATGAGATCACCCACGTCTTCTGGGTTTCCATGCAACACCATGGAAACGAAGAAGTAAACATCTCCATGAACTCCACAATGCTAGCCAACGTGCTTAATGCACTCAAATCCACTGCCCCTTCAAGGCTCAGACATGTCACTTTGCTAACCGGAACCAAACACTACATGGGTCCAATACATGACCCTTCACTTAGAGGCGAGCTTGTCCATCAGGAGCCACCTTTCAAGGAGGACCTAGGCAGACTTCCCTACCCCAATTTCTATTATGCCTTAGAAGACTTAGTTGCGTCCTATTTGCCTTCAATTACACACTCAGTTCATCGCTCATCAATAGTAATAGGTGCATCTTCACGAAGTCTGAATAACACACTGCTTACTCTATCTGTTTATGCTACAATTTGTCGATACCAGGGGTTACCATTTCGATACCCTGGGAACAAATACACATGGGAGCACTTCTGCGACATGTCTGATGCAAGGGTGCTAGCTGAGCAGCAAATATGGGCAGCGGTGACTGAGGGAGCTAAAAATCAAGCCTTCAATTGCACAAATGGTGATGTTTTTACGTGGAAGAGTTTCTGGGGAGTCCTGTGTGAGGTCTTTGATGTGGAGTTTGTGGCCTTTGAAGAGAATGATGAGAAGTTTGATTGGCTGGGGATGATGAAGGGTAAAGGCAAAGTGTGGGATGAGATCGTTGAGAAATTCGGGCTGTTTGAGACGAAGATTGAAGATATTACTTGTTTTGAAGCACTTGATGTGGTTTTGCATTTTGGGTTTCAACATGTCTGTAGCATGAATAAGAGTAGAGAATCTGGGTTTCTAGGGTATGCTGATACACTAAAGAGCATTCCAATGTGGGTGGGGAGACTGAGGGACATGAAAATCATACCATGAAGATGATATCCACTCCAATCTATTCTTAGCTTGTTTCTTCTCAATGTAAGAAAAATAATACAAGAGTCTAACTAATTAATGATGCAATGTTTTTCATTAAATGCTCTTTTTTTCTCTATTGAATTCTAGTTAAATTATAAATTTTATGTTGTTTTTCTATTCAGTTTAGGATTCTTCTTTTTCTATCTTATATATTAAAGAGATCGCTACATTAGAAAAAAAAAATATTTAGCATTAAAATTATCTTTCTCTGTGCAGACCTTTTTTCTTATATGGTCTGGTCCAAAAAAAATAAAAATAAGAGAGACAGAGAGAGAGAGATTATAATTTTATTTTGTGTCAACTTTAGGTTGCCTTAGGCATCATCTTCCCTGTACTTAAGGCAGAAGGAATTAGAGCAGCCTTCTTACCTGTAACCATGCCAACTTACGACAGAACACCTCCTGAGTCCTGTCCATTAATGATATGGAAACGAGAAAACTGTAAAACAGAATTATAAGTGGCGCTCTATTTTACCAGATGAACAACTTAATTCTTCCCAGAATAATAAACAGAATAAACTCAGCTGAAAATAAGTATTAGTTGGTGTTATTATATACATGAGCATTTTAGTTTTTTGATAAGTTTTTAAAGCTGGTGGTGACTATAAAGTGTAATTGTTTGTTTAGGATGTTTAGGTTTTTTTTTTTTAATGAAACAATGTCATTTTAATTAAAAATAATAAGCCTTATTAACCCAATAACTACTTAACCCATTTTTTGCATTAAGATCTAGGCTGAGTTTGACAACTCTATGTATTGCATAAATCATAGCACAACTAGGCCGCAAACCCAATCTAATTCTATAGCCCAAGAACTGCAGTCATAACGCATTTGACGCAAGACTTAGTCAGGCCTAATATTTAAGCCATTGTTAAGGGTTGGTTCAAATTCAGATGGAGCCCAATTTGCTCATTTCCCAATCTAAAAGGCATCCCAGGACACATGTCGGATTCATTTTTATTTTCTAAGCAAACGAAAACATGCAAGAGAGAGTTCTTAGGAGGAGAAATTAAGTTATTTATGGATCTAACTTATCTTTTTAATGTTATGACTATGAGCATACCACCAGGCAAATCGTGCAATCTTGTTTTAGGATACACTAGTTTACTGCGCTACGAGTCATGGCTTCACCTGGCAAAAAAACTAATTTACCATGCGCTTAACCTAACAAACTCGTGAGCATCTCCATGAACTCCATCATGCTAGCCGATGTGTTTGATGCATATTAATCAGCTACTCTTTCACGACGACTCAAATGTATTAGAAGCTGTTTAGTAACATAGATGCAAGTGAGGTTTACTCACAATCACATTTATTATTATTTAATTAAAAAAATAATTTATGCTAATAAAGCCCATTAATTTTATAATTATACTCTAGGTTTTATAAAAACAGCATTTTGCTGCTTCTCGTGAGAGAGAATTACTGAATGGTGGAGACATTTTTCATTATTTCAGTTGGATTAAGTTTGGTACAAAACTAAAAGTATATTAAATTAGGTTTGACCCAATAAAATAAAAATAAAAAATAATTTTTTATTTTTAATTATGTTTTATTAAAAAAAAATAGTGTTAAACATTATTCAATGACATTATATAAATTAGACGGAGATCACTTGATAACGTAGTATTTATAGAATTTAATCGCAATCCTAATTTTATTTCTAATTATATTTTACTTAAAGTTATTGCGCTTTTAAAAAATTTAAAAAAATTATAGTCCTTATCGTATATATTTTATATGTGATAAAATTGTAGATTTTAATGAAATAATAAAAAAATTATATAAAATATTATTTATTTCATGATATAATAACAATAGTTAAATCTATAATATTTAAATGAAAAACCATTAATATTAATTTATATTTTTTTTAAATTATCTTATAACCTCAATTTCAAATGCATTTTTAACTAAACATATTAAAGTTAGTTTTAGTTCAATCTCATTTAGTTAGTTTTAATTCAATCTCATTTTCAACTAAGTTTTAATTAAACATATATTTTTCCAAATTAATTTTTACTAAAAATAATTTTTATAATATAATTTTTTTAAATCACAACTACAATAACTATTACAATACCAAGCACACCCTTACTTTGCAAACAGGCACGGAACAATACTTTGGTCAGATATTGGATCCTTCACTTGAAGGCAAAGGCAAACTTGTCCACCAGGAGCCACCTTTCAAAGAGGACCCGGATAGACTCCCCTACCCCATTTTCTATTGTGCCTTGGAAGACCAGGTTGCATCATATTTTCCTTCCATTACACACCCAGTTCATCGCTGGTCGATCATAATAGGTGCTTCTTCAAGAAGCGTGGACAACATATTTACTAACTCTACCTGTCCATGCCACTATCTGTCAATACCAAGGGTTACCATTTCGATACCCTGGGAACAAATACACATGGGAGCACTTCTGCGACATGTCTGATGCAAGGGTGCTAGCTGAGCAGCAAATATGGGCAGCGGTGACTGAGGGAGCTAAAAATCAAGCCTTCAATTGCACAAATGGTGATGTTTTTACGTGGAAGAGTTTATGGAAAGTCTTATGTGAGGTCTTCGACGTTGGATTTGTGGCCTGTGAAGAGAGTGATGAGAAGTTTGATTGGCTGGGGATGATGAAGGGTAAAGGCAAAATGTGGGATGAGATTGTTGAGAAGTATGAGTTGTTAGAGACTAAGATTGAGGATATTACTTGTTTCGAAGCACTTAATGTGGTTTTGAATTACAGGTTTCAACATTTCTGTAGCATGATTAAGAGTAGGGAATTTGGGTTTCTAGGGTATGCTGATACACTCAAGAGTATTCAAATGTGGGTGGGCAGATTGGGAGCCATGAAAATGATACCACGAAGATGATGTCCATTCCATCTATACTTGGTTTTTTAGCAATATAAGATATTCTTTTCTCAAAGTACGAGAAATAATACAAGAGTGTAACAAATGAAGCAATGGTATTCTTATTTTTTCTCCAGGTCCACATCTTTCTTTACAGCAATTTCTATAATCCTTGCTCCTTGCTCTCCTCTAGTCCTTTTCCCATTTATTTCAACAACCCGTGCACCTTTTCATCTGTTATAAGGATGGCAAAGCATAACAAATAAAGGATCCAGGTAGAGAGCAGAAACGTTAGTAATATCACCTAGCAACAGACTCAAATCGTCTGGCCAAGGATCATCGAGGAATGTTACTAAGATAGATTTTAACACTCAAAATGCACAAGTAGTAAGCAAAACAACGCCATTAAGGTTTACTTTCAACTCAACAGAGGAGTTCCCCAATGTTGATAATCAAAGACAATATGGCAACTACAGAATCATGAGCTTGGAAAGTAATGAAAAGGTCAACAAGACTTGAAGTCTACTTCCAAAATATATCATGCCTACACACCTAGCATTACTCAATTTACATAACACCAACCCACTCCTCCATGCCCACCAAACAAACGCAGGATCCCAAAACCCCAATCTTGATCAAAATTGTATCATAGAAAAATGGCAATCCAGCATTCACCATGGGAATGACTTCAAACATGCAAACAATTCAAGCATCACAAAACACAAATGTTACTAGTAATTTAACAACCAAAACTACACTTACATTATTCAGATAGATCCAAAGCCTAACTATTTTCTTACCCATATAGATCAAAACAACCCAATTAAACACTCCTAATTGCCCTCGGCTCGAATACCAACTGACACTAAGCATACCTTTGTCTTACCATCTATTCTCCAAAACACCCCACCCTCAACCCACACCAACACTGCAATCCAAATTCCAAAATGTACCTCAAATCATCAAATTCCCTTTATCCTAAATTAGCTACACACACAATGTTTTTTCTATGGTCATGAAATGATAAATTCGGGATTAATACCGAATTAATATATAATGTTACTGGTTTAGATCATGCTAAAAAACAATTGCAAATTAAATGACTAGGATAACAATTTGAGTAACTTTTAATCTAAAGGTGGATAATTCATTTGTTTGCATAGCTTTACTTATTAAAGATTGGGTAAGAAAATATAGACAAAATAGTAATAAAATTGAAAAAAAAATCATTCTCATGTGATAATTATTCCATCATAATCTACAATTCTGAAATCAAATCGATTCAAATTAAAAGGGCAAAAAGAGAGAGAGAGAGAAGAAGAAGAAGAAGAAAGGAACCTATCCTCATCAAAAAATGCATACTCGCCAATTAAATCCTGACCGTCCATCAAACATGACCAATCTCTCCCAGCTTCTCAGCTCCATCAACTACAATGCCAACGCGTTTCACCGAATCAAACAACGGTAACACACGCTTTCTATAATGAATCGGCCTTGACAACTCTTCGTTTAAATCAATATAGATGTTACTAACACCAATTCCCTTTAATCTAAAACCTAATTTCTCTCCGACGCGCGACGCCGCTTTTGAGTCCCAGGATTGGCGAGGGTAGCGAGAGAGAGTGGAGTTGCGGTAGTGAGAGAGGAAGGATTCTTTCTCAGCGGAGGAAGCCATGGCGATTATTGTGGAAGTCGTCGGATTTGTTACCTGTGCTGTTATTTTCCGGCAGGACAGGACTAGCCGAAGGAGATGTTGTTGATTCCCTGACATTTTTTTATTTTTTTTTAAGACAGACACTGGAAAAGAGGAGGTGTTGAGGTTGGTGGACTTGGGTAGTTTATAAGTGGGTTAGGTTTTGGGCTAATTGATGATAATATAAAAGTATCAATGGGCTTTATTATCAGGCCCTATATCTTGACTAAATTTTTTTCTCAACGGGTATTAAATATAGTTACGAGGCCTGGCCCAGCCTATGACCCGACTCAAGGTATTTTTTTCAGGCATTATTTTTAAATTTAAATAGCTAGTTTACACCTGCATAAGAATCTTTTATTTCTGTTTTAAAAAAATTCACAAATTATAATATATATATATATATATATATATTATGATACAAGTTAAATTATTTTTTAAAAAAATAAAATTTTCTCTCATTAAATTAAAAAATATATTTTTTTAACATAAAAGTTGTATTTGAAAGTGTGATAATGATTGTTTTTTAAAGTATTTTTTATTTTAAAATGTATTAAAATAATATTTTTTATTTTTAAAAAATTATTTTTAATATAAGTATATCAAACATATCCAAAAACATAAAAAATAATTTTAAACGAAAACATTTAAGTTTTTGTGAAATATCTTTTTATCAGTGAAATATATCTTAGTAAAATAATTTTAAATTTAAATTTTGTTGTCTAACATAAATATACCTAGTGGCTATGAAAAGAAATATTACATCTTTTACAACACATATATTTAAAGTATTCTCATCATATTAATTTTAAGTTTACAAAATAAAATATCTTAAAGAAACAATGTCAATTATGTGTGCATACGTGTATTTTTATCAATAAAAAAAATTAAAATCTCTAATGAAATAAATTTTAAAAATTTCAATAATTCTATTGTCACAATAAATAAAATGTGAAAAAAAAACCTTTGTTGCAACTAAAAAATGCATTATTTTTTCAATTCTTTCTTTCATTTTATTTCTCTAATTAAATGTTAGAACTGTGTTAGTGTTAGTTTGAGGGGGGGGGGGGGGGACCATTGTTAGTAACACTTGGATTTTTATTTTATTTTATTTATTTATTTATTTTATTGCCATGAAAGTGGGGCTTAGGTTCTTGATCACAAGTAAATAAGCAGTTTCTTGGAACTAATCAATGGCAACATATAAAAAGTCACAAAAACCTCCTTCCCACTTGAGGATATATGATTTCAAAGGAAAAGGACAGACAGATACAAAAAGGGCAGGCTTCTTGCTGCACCAAATGTAAAAACAACAGGGCATATTCTCTTTTATATATTTAATATTTGCCCACTACATAGACAGGAGAATGGAAATATATTTAAATGAAAAAGATGCAATCAGTCAACAACTTTCATTACATCTACATAGGACAAAAATCCAAATCCCATCCCTGTCGTTTACTGATCATTTGCTTCAAATTTCTTAGTCAAAAGCTATAATCTGTCTTCAGTACTCTCTTGCTTGATGGAAGCTTTGAGCTATCCCTTAATCCCTTTAGCCCACCATTTTCATTACCTTCAACTTTATCTCCCTCCCCTTCTTCAATATCTACCTCAAAAGCAGGATGGTTGAGGATGTTTTTGAGCAATTGTGTCCCTCTGAGTGCATTTGTCAAAGGCAAGTGACCTTCAGGAGTATCATCAGTAAGATCCCAAATGAACTCGTTAGGAAAAGCCCTGTAGTTGTATTGCTCAACCTCAGTGTCAAGCTTCTTCATCCACCCAACTTTGATGAAGAACCTGGTGAAGTCCTTGTTAGCCTTCAGTTGCCATATTCTTTTCTGAACACTGTATCCAAACTTGTTGTTGCTGTGATTTTTCCATAGTTCGTCGATGACTTTAAGGTCTTCCTCAGAGATAAACTGGACCTCGGAGAAGAAGACATAGCCACGCGTTTGTGCCGCTTCACCAGCTAGAACAATGAGAAGTCTGCGGGTTTCTTCATCGGCTTCGCGGAAGTTTTGGTTCGAGAGATGTTGCTGGAGGAGGTCAAGGGAGTGGGTTATGGAAGTGGAGGGAGTAGTGGAGGTCGTGGCGGAGATGGAGTAAGCGGTGGTGGTTGTTGGGGAGGAGATAGAGAGGGAGAGAGAAGTGTCGGTGTTGATGGAGATGGAGGTGGTAGGCTTGAGGAAGAGTGAAGAGGGAGGGGTGGTGTCTGTGGGATGGAACTTGAGGAGGGAGTGATGATGGTTGAGGGACCGTAAAGAGTTGGTAGCCATTCGAGATAGAAAGAAAGGGCAAGGAAAAGGGTCTGAAAGCTGTGGAATCTTCTAGATGATGGAAGTAGCAAGAAGGGATGCTATGACTTTGATGGAGTGTGGAAGGACTTGAGTGTGGTTCGGATTCTAGGTGGGAGATAAGGGATTTGTGAAGAAAGACGTCATCAAGTGCAATACAGAGGTGGATTTTGATTGGGTAGATGTGGGTGAGGCTAGATCCCCCCATCTCCCCTCTCCTATTCACAAGTAAAGATAGGAAACTATGTTTGCCACCATAAAACAAAGGACAAGAAAACAAAACAAAAATCAAAGTGCCATTCCGGCCTTTGCCTTCAACAAGCAAGTCGTGCTAACACATGCCGAAGGCATCGGGAAGTGTTTGACTAAACTTTCCTCCATCAATTACAGAACAGAGAAAAGTTTGGCTTCAGTTGATGGGTTTCATTTACTCATTTCAACCTGTGAATGCATTGCTGAAAACTAACATTTGAGAACACGTTAAGGAGGAGCCAATCCCTGATCAGCTAGAAAATGATCATACCACTGCTTTCCACGGGCATGATTGATCCATTCCCAGTTGCTTTCCTTAAGGTCTCTTGCATATTGTCCCCACAGCCCAAACAAGGGCTCTCACTCAACTGGTAACAGCCAAAATGAGGGATAGAGAGCAATTTCAGTTAGAAGCAACAAATACCACTTAAGAGCACTCTCAAAGGAAAAAATAGCAACTATAGAGCAATAATATTCTGAGAAGTCGAAGAACTTAAACTCATGATCCAGACCAAGCAGTTTTGATAAGTGGATGACGATCTTACTACATAGGAAACACAAAAGCACAGTTAAAAGATGAAGTTCATAAAGCTCCAACGGTATCAGTTACCCTTCCTCAAATATTTAACTACATTAATCCAGAATGACCAAGCTAATTGGATTTACACTTCTGATATCTAAAAGATGGACCCCAGCAGGATTACAAAGCAGGTAATGCATCCTGGGATACAAAAATCTTATCTTAATGTGGTCTGCACCCAGCTAATTAGACTAATCTATGTCTTATGTTTTGTAGGATCTCTACTGATTCAGAACTAATCAAGCATCAAAAACCTTCATGTTGTAAAACTTCGCCAAACCAGGAGCAGTTCCGTCAGACACGACGTTATCTATTATGGTGAACTTCTTATAGTTTGCTTTGAGGGTTTCCTCTTGCTGCTTTGCAAGCTTCTCTTCTTGGGCCAACTGTTGCTGCAAATGAGAATCGCAATTTAAATGAACATAACCAACCAAAACATATTAAAAATCTACTCGAAAAACATGCAAGCGTCAAGCAAGTAAACTGAAATTCAATGGATGCTGTCACATGAACTTACCTGGAGCAAAAATAAATCTTCAGCAGCATGCTTTCTGACAAGACGCTTAATTTTACTTGCCACTTCAAAATCAGGGTCATTTCTGTCCACCCAACGGCACTGTATCCTTCTACCAGGCTTGATTGGGCGATCATCAAACATCTCCACTTCTGCACGAAATGCTCTAGCAGGCCGAGGCATCCCAGACATCATGAAGGGGAACTGGGTGATCTCTGAAACAACAGCTTCAGCTTGTCTAAGACACTCCATTTCCACTAAGGCACAGCATGGGATATTTTTGGGTCCTGTGTAGTTCGGGATAAACTGCACATTCTTCACAGTCCCAAACTGACCTAGAGCTGTTCTCATGACAGATTCAGTCACTTGTGGTGAAAGGCTGTCAATGTAAACAGTACGTTTCACCTTCTCCAGAAACGCAGCATAGTCTGCTTCAGCTGTGGAAGTAGAATCCATATGGGATGGCACACTCAACCTATAACAATACATCCAAAACCTAAACAAGTTAGACATTCCCAGTTTTTCAGTCCAAAAACACATTCCATCATAATTAGCCTTTACAACTAAAGTCATATCAATAACATCAAATTCATAAATCAAATAATACATACATATCAGAAATTAAAAATCAAATGAACTTTTTTCCAAAATAAAGCTTCCAGAGTTTTGAAAGACTGATATAATGATGTTGCCACATGCTCCTATCCTCCTTGATTGCTCTAAATGTCATTCCATATAGTTTATTATTCACATCATGAACAAAAATAGACCCAAACCATAGCCACATAACTGGAGACTATCTTCCCATTATCCAAACCTACAACTTGATTTATCAGTCGAACATAAAATTCAGTTTCATTACTGCTGTACTCCAAGAAATCGAGACACGTGCTATATTCATAGATATAACCACACAAGAACGAAAGAATAGTACGGCATATCAATAGCATAGTAACCATATCTAGAAGGAAAATAGTAGAAACCATCTTGACCAAAACCCACCCACCATGAATTTTGCAATTGGGAACCAACACAAAAGCAACCCACCAATGCTGTATCAACAGAATGAATAGTGTGGAATGCTAAGGCTGAAGTGACTGTAACACCTCATTTTACAGCGAATCACTTATGCACCTCCCAAACACACATGAGAAAAATATGAAAGAACAGTACAGCATATCAACAACACAGTAACCACAACTCACTGACAAAAAACCATATCCAAAAAGATATTAGTAAATCCCCTCTACACAGCCTCAAAACTAAACGACCAGAATCCACCCACCATGTATTTGCTATTTGGAACTTAAAAAAACAACATAAAATCAAATCAACTGAATTCATAAAAACATTCCCTTGTTCAAAACTTCAAAGTTATCAACACAAATTTTATCAAAATGATTTGGAATTTCATAGCTTTAAGCTATCAATGAGTTCATAACTATCAGCAGTACATTAAATTATTTAAAAAATAACAGCAAAAAAACTGACATTTTCTTCGCTTTCAGCTACTTTCTCATAAAACAAACAAAAACCCTAAATTTGAAGCGGCCATACCTGGATCGTGGATGAACGATCAAATTGAAACAGAACTAACGAAGGTGAGAAAATTTTGAAGGGAGGTATTCTTTTACGAGGATGAGAAATCAATTGGTAAAATAAAAAAGAGAGCCCCGAATCAGGGAATTAGGCCCTTTTTTTAATTTGGGCCTCCCGAGCCTTGATTATTTTGTTAAAGATCGAGCTCTGCTCAACCCAGAGTTAGGGTTGTAGGCTGAGCAAGTTCACAGGAAGGTAGGGAATAACCTGGTTTTTTTATTAAAATAATACTATTTTAATTCTCGCGTTTTTTTTTTTAACGAAACAAGTATGATTATAATTTTTTTTAATAAAAATACCCAAACTAAATTTTTATTAAATAAAAAAATCTTTGAGCTAATACTTAAGTTGTTGAATGATTAAATTAATCTTTAAAAATAAATACATTCTAAATCTTTGAATGAATTTGTTTTTTAAGTTGTTTTTATTTTTAAAAAATATTAAATTAATATAATTAAATTATTTTTAGTAATTTTGATCTATTAATATAAAAAATACAGTATAATTAAAAAATATAATTTTAATATATTTTAATTAAAAATTAATTTTAAATTTCAAATATAGATATGAATGCGACAAAAATAACCTAGACTAGCTAGGAATCACAGTAGCTAGGTCCATGTTGCTGGATTCCACACGTTAACATTATCTAACATATTATTTTGTGATTTACAGCGGATTAATAAGAATTCTTTATTTTAAATATTACAAAAGTATAAAATATAATTTTAAATGTTTTAGGTTTAGTTTACGGAGTCAAACCCCCTTATCATGAGTCTATTATTATATTAAAATAATATAAAAAATAATTTGAAGTAAAGAAAAACATAAAAATATTTTTAAAGTACAGGAATATATATATATATATATATATCATCCAACAGTTATTGGGACCTTTGCTTTTATTCAATATATATAAAAATTGAAGCTAAGATTAGTTGGTTAATCGATAGCATGACTCTAATAATAATAATAATCATGCATGTATTTCATGTTAATCTCAGGGATGATTTTAAAAAACACTGTGAATTGACTTGGGTTGCATGTATAAATAAAGGATGAATATTTAATTTATTTTTTATGTTGAATAATAAATAAAATATAGATAGGGATGGTTGTGCGCTACGACGTAAAAAATGCAAAACGACAACTAAATGAAATGCCCCCACGCAGGATCGAACTACGGACCTTCAGTTTACAAGACTGACGCTCTACCACTGAGCTATAGGGGCTCTTATACGCACAAGCAAATAATACTTAAATAATATATGTGATAGTGAAACTCTTTACCACCTTAAAATATGTGAACATTTATTATTATTGATACACACGTCTATGATATCAATTCAGACCGTGAAAGTTTCGTTTATGCATGATGTTCTTAACCCATTTAGTTATAACTGTATTTCCTGTTATTTATGTTTGATTGCATGGCTAGCTATCTAGGCATCAAGCTGCATGAATGCATGGGTCAAAAGGCAGAATTTGCTTTGATATTTCAACATGCAGCCACTCTCAACCTTGCTGAAGCTGACTAACAGGGATTAAGCTTCGGGATGCTCTTGTAAAACAGGAGGCCTGGGTCTTGTTTGGGGTTCAAATTAACCTCTGGTATTTCATCATATTAATCTCCAGGAGGGGAAGGGAACGGTTCGTGAAGTATGAAGCAGCAAGACAGCCTGTGGATAGAACATAAACAAAAACATGCACCTTCTGAAAGTGTCGGAACCTTATGAAGAACCATCTGATGGTAAGAATTGAATACATAAATTGCCAGCTGAAAGTTACAAGATAACAAAGTAATTGTCATGCTGATGGTAGAGGTAGAATCACTTGGCGTTCCAGAAAATTACCCTTTTTTTTTGAAAAAAACAATTTCGTTCTACAAGAAACCAAATGCAAACCCAACAAACCACAACCAAGAAATCAAAATGCTTCAGGCACTCATTTCAGAAGTTATGCTGCAAGAACAATCTTTCTTGAGGTGAAGCAGGTCCAATCTCTTCCTCCAAACTCCTCAACCCATCCCCGACGTTTGCCACATAGCCTAAATTTCTTGTTGAGGTTTTGCCATCAACATCTGCATCGGAGGCTGAAGACTTTCTCCCTTGGGAGGAAGTAACACTAGGGAAAGTTATCCACGATGGCGCTCGAAACTCGATCCTTTGGTCTTCCCCTTCTATAACATCAGTTTCTGAGACCGCTGATCGGTTCGAAGATCTTTGAGAAGATTTCTTGTGCAATCTACTGCTTCCAAGAACAACTTCGGTTGGCAATATTGGTTGGTCATTACTTGGACTGCCCATCAGTTGTGCAAGGGCACGTTCCAAAGCTGTTGTTACTTTATCCATGGATGGCCTTTCCTTCCCCCTCATTCTGACACACTTGCAAGCCACATTTGCAATCCTTTTCAAAGCTTCAGGATCGGATGGAGGCTTCAAAACTGGGTCCAATATGGCTGGTATATCTCCTGCTTTGATCAGGGGAACTGCCCATTCGACTATATTTCCTTCTTCGTATTGCATATCTATGGCCTTTCGGCCACTGAGGATTTCCAAGAGTAACACGCCAAAGCTATAAACATCGGATTTGGTTGTGAGGTAGTGAAGCCTATAGTACTCAGGATCAAGATAGCCAAGAGTTCCTGCGGGTAGCTCAGCCAATGGCGAGCTACTATTAGCTGGCCCCAACAAAGAAAGGCCAAAATCAGACACTCTGGCGTTGTGTTCTTCATCAATGAGAATGTTCGAAGATTTGATGTCTCGATGAATTACAGGTGGGCAAGCGTAACCATGCAAGTATTCAATTCCCCTAGCTGCTTGTACTGCAATGGTAACCCTTCGAACCCAATTCAATTGCTCTTTTAAGGCAGGGTTCTTTCCATGAAGATGCTGGTGCAAGGATCCATGAGCCATGAATTCATAAACCAGAAGCCTTTCTCCACCTTCTTCACAATAGCCAAGCAAGTTGAGCAAATGAGCATGGTTTAGTCTTGATAGCAGATCAAGCTCAGTGTGGAATTCTTTCGAGTTTTTCTGCTTATCAGAACACACTATTGCCTTTTTCACCGCAACAAGTGTCCCATTCCTTAAAACCCCCTTATAAACACATGAGAAACTTCCTTTTCCCACTAGGGATTCTTCCTTGAATCCGCTGGTGGCCTTCTCAAGTTCCTCATAAGTGAACATCTGTGCCCTCCTTAACTTGATCTCATCCATGTCGGGACGGATTCTTCCGTTATCTTTAGAAACTGAAGAACCGCTACCGATGTTTTTCTTGGTCTTTGATTGTTTTGCCGAGCATTGACAGTTCCTCAAACTATAGCGAACATACAAAATAGCAGTTGTTGTCACAACCACCACCAAGAGCATAGCAAAGCCAATCTCCGCAATAATGACTGGCAATTGCAATGACCAAAACCTGTTCTTTTCTTTAGCATTATTGGAATATAAAGAAGAACAGTTTGAGAAGCATTCTGATGAATAACAACTGGAACAATTATAATCACACTGACGATCTGATTTCGAAGTGCATTTGGTTTTCTGGTACATTTCAGCAGGACAGCCATTACTGCAAGACAAGCAAGCACGAGAGCCTGGAGATGGGCACGGTGTGCTGGCACCAACAAATTCAAAGGAACCGGGAGGGCAAGGAGTAGTTTTGCAGAGTCCAGGTGAAACAGCTAGGGGAAGAGAGCTAGGGAACCCAAGACCCCAGCAAACAGGTAGGAGAGATTTCTCGGCAAGAATTCCACAAGTGAAGTAATTTCCAGCAGCTATTTCGTACACCTTAATGCCAGTAGGAGTCGGAGTGCTTGGCTTTACCATATAGCCCCAACAAATCACCTCGCGGTCGTAACTCTTGATTCCACAAGCATGGAACTTTCCTCCCACGACAGACAGCATAGGATCACTCGGAGGCAAATCAACATTTCCTTGATTCAAATATGCTGCTGATATCACAGAAATCTCTTCTTCAAGGTCCAAGCTCCTTCCCCAACAGAAGGCTCGTGAATTCACCCCCTCTAGAATCCCACAAACATGATATCCACCAGCTGCAATATTTTGAAATCTCCTTTCTTGAGGAATCAAGCTGATTACACGGCTACTAGCCTGATCACCCCAGCAGAAAACAGTCCTATTCTCGGAAAACAATCCACAATTAAAGTCAGAACCAGCTGAGATTGATTGAATCTGCCCATCAAACACATGGTTCGTTGTCATGTTGTAACCCCAACAGTCAACAAGAGAGAGGTTTCTACGCCTGCCTGTTAAAGGCTTTCTCAAACCACATAAATGGTAATCGCCCGCACTGATTTCTACATACTCGGCCTCTTCCATCATAGGCTGAGGCACACCTGGTCGAAGATAGCCACTACTTCCCCAACAATACGGTCGGTTAGATTCCAACAGTAGCCCGCAAACAAAGCCATCTCCAGCAGTTAGACCAATAAAAGGGAAATGAGCTGGAGTTCCATAGATTATAGCTGAATTTGAACCATAACAATTCACAAGATGAGACCCATCTGATTTTATACCACAAAAGGCAGGACCTTTCTCACCATAAGAAATGGCAATGGAAGACATGGAGCCTAAACCTGAGACTAGCCACCATAAATCTGATAGAACCACAAATTGAACCACAAATCCACAATTCCGTTTGCTAGTCATCAAGACCCTAATAAGGAAATCTCTAACAGAATGGCTCCAATTCCCCATCACACCAGCCAAACCCCAAGATACATAGATATGAAATGCCACCAACCTGATTTTTTTTATAGTTAACCACCAACACTACAGGTAGACAGGGACTTCATTGAGGAGGACTTGCATGTTAGCTAGCCTCTTAAACCAAGATGTAAAATTCTGATGTCTGTCATTGTTCCACAACATAAACCAGCAAAGAATGCGAAAATCCATTAAGAACAACACCTAAACACCAAGCCATACTCCTTTTTTTGCATCCAAAGACCACAACACACTACCCTCAAGCATATGCAACAATGGAGAAGAAAATGTGATGAACAGCACAAATATACTTGAAGCTACTGATGGTCAACCAAAAAACAAACCAAAATCCAGAATAAAAGAACTGGCTATCTTAACACAAGAACCTCTACAAACTACAATCTTACAAAGACAACACCTTAAGTTGAAAATCCAAGAACTTGTCCAGGTGTTTATCTCTATACCTCCCTGCTTTAAGAAAAGAACTTACCCTTTAACTGAAAGTGAGACTTCTGCAAGTTCTGGATCAAGAAACTCGCATTAGATCACATTTAGAGCCAAACCTCAGCTTCTTTCAAGTATACCTTCAACCCCCCCTCATTTTTAGTAAAAAGGGCTTCTCTCTTTTGCATGTAGGCTACTGAAGAATGCTAATGCAGTTTCAAGAAAAAGAAAAAGAAAAACCTTGAGGTGGGATGAGTATGTTGATGATGGTTACAGGAGCATTGTGGTTTCAGGCAAGAGAGAGAGAGAGAGAGAAATAAATGTCCATAAAACTGCAGCTTCTCAATACAGGCAGGTGTAGGTGAAGACAATAAATGAGGTAGTTAATGCTATATGATGTTTTTCATGCCATGTTTACTGCACTCTATAGCTTTTGTCAAACCTCTTCTTTTTAACTCTTTCGCTTCTTGAGTCAAAGTGTAAAAACCACCTTCTTCTTCTTCTTCTTCTTCTTTGATGGGCTCTCATGCATGGCTTTGGCCTCCAACGAATATACTGTGCTGAGTTACAAATTTTATGTATAAGAATTCACTATAATTAGCATCCTCCAAAAGATTTCTCAATGATTATTATCATAATTATACTAACCGTCATAAAGATGTTATGATTGTCCAGAAAACAAATTCAAGAAATCCTGCACGCTATTTAATAGTTGCTTAAAACCTTCTTTTGTATGGTTAATGACCAGTGAATTATGGTTTAAGTTGATAATTCTCACTTAAATTTCAAATTTAAATTTCATATATGGGTAACGTACTTGGGATAAAAGTTATTACATAAGATTCAATTTATAGATCAACCCTTAATTTTAATTTTTTTTTTAAATACTATAAAATAATATTATTATAAATTAATTGAGATTAATTCATTAAACTCCTTATTTGAGTTGAGTTTTGAATATTTTTAAATTCAATAAATTTTACTAAAATTACTAATTAATTTCTCACAGTAAAGCAACAGAGCTAATGAAAACTCTGTTTCTAAAAAAACCAAAATGTTCATGAAAATATAGGTTAAAAAAGAAGAATTGGTTTCTGTCATTCAGCAATTGGCTGAAACAGAGGTGACCCTCTTGACTGGAATACACAATTGCTTTGGATTTCACTGTACAATAAACTCTTCTTCCACCCCATCAGGCAATTTAAAAAAAAAAAAAATTCCCAATCCAACATTTTTTATTCAGAATTATATATATTAAAAAATTATATAAATAAAAAAATTGAAGATGTCCTAGGGTTAGCTAGGGACCTCCCTTCGTTGCCTAAAATTAGGAGGGTTAGGTTAAAAATTAAATTGAGTTGGTTGGACAGTGCTTGTACCAATGTTTGGTCTTCAAATGAATTAATGAGATGTACCCCCTCATCCTAGGACACAAGGGTAAGGATTATGATCTATATCTTGATTGGATTAAGGATAATTTTAATATTATTGTATGTAAATTAAAGTATTTTTAAATTAATTTATATACAAATCAAGATTAAGTTTTTTCCTTGAAGATTTCAAAAATGCATTTATATATTTAAAGAAATTTAATTTAAATTGCAAATAAAAATAAAAAAGATTAGGGAATATTATTATTATTATTATTATCTGGAATTAGATTAGTATATAAAAGAAATTGATAAGGTCATGGGATGTGTATGACAAGAGCACAAATAAGTCCCCATTTCAAGGGATATGCATACAGCGTAAGATGGGGGTTACCATCGAATTAAGGAAGAGGGCCAGCCAATGAACATTTATTAATTCATATCTTTGTTCTAATTTTTGTCTTGTTTTGATGGTTTAAGCTTCTCTGTTTATGTTTTTGTGTTTGGTTTGCAGGAAGATTCACAGTTTAATTATTTATATTTATATATATATATATATATAATCCAATTTCTATTTAAAAAAAAAAGAATGCTTACCCACATATTTAAAGCTTGGCTAGAGAAGTCAAAATAATAATTCATCAATTATTCAAGATCTGACCTAAGCTGAATATCATATTAAAATGTAGATTTATTTATCAATTCAAGATCAAAATCTAGCTAGACAAGTCACATTGATGATTTATTTATCAATTTAGAATCTCACCTGAGTATAAGACTTGATATCGCGTGATTTTAATTAATTAATTTATTAAAAATACATTTAAAATGATATTATTTTAAATTAATATGAGTATATCTAAACTGATCCACTTGACCTGTTGAGTCACGAAATGTATCAGACAAACCAGCATTTATATCTTACAGAATAAATAAGTAAATGAAAATAAATAAATAAATAAAGGTTTAGCTGCAGACTTTTCAATGGTTTTCTTCAGTCTGCTTGCTTCCTCTGGTTCTGTGTGCCTTGATCTTCTTTCTCAAACAGCTATTAGTTTATATTAATAGAATATGTAATCCTGCTGGTAGGATCAAATACCATAATCTGAAAGGTTAGCAGGCTTCAAGCAAACCCTAGCAACCTCTTATAAGGTACATTGCAAAATAAATTCAATGGATTAACATGGTGATCAAGGTGATTAAAAAATTTAAACTTAATTAACATATAAACCGACTTGACATACCCATAATTTGCCACTAAATCAAATCAATACCATTCAAAAGAAACCCAGCAAGCTTTCTGGAGCCCATGTTATGAGCTCCACTCAAGGGTACACATCTAGTAGAAAAAAAAGATTTGGACTGCGTAAGTAAGTGAGAGACTGGCCTCTGAAGCAGCCACAATTAATAGATTCCTGTGCTTTGACTGAAGATGTAAGAATTTGAAGGGTTTTAAATTGAATAATGGGTTCCATGACCATCCTTGAGCCACACAATTAGCTATATAGATTAAAAAATAGACCGTCCAAGAAGAAGAAAAGAGTAAGAAATAGAAAGCAACACAAGGGTTATAATTTTAAAATAGATTTCGTTGCTGTCAAACCCATCATGACTGGGAGTCTATTAGAGACCAGCCAACTTGAGATCTAGCTAGAGAGTTACTTTATCGATTCAATTGGTTAACATATAAATCTAAAGAATTAAAATAATATAATTTTAATTAATTCTTGACCTACAGTTATAGTAGTTCTAGGTATTATGCCTTCACTTGTTTTGGAAGCTATGCGTTTTTTTTTCTTATTATTTTTAATTATTTGTTAGAATATTTATGACTTTCAGTGATGGATCATTATAAATAAAATATTTTAGGATAATTTAAAAAAAATAATATTATAAATAAAAAGAATTTTTGTTTTTATTTTAAAAAAATTAAAATTTAAAACTTTTTTTAAAAAATAATTTTAAAAATACAACCATATCATTAATATACATTTTTAAATGAAAAATTATTTAAAATACAACCATAATCATATTTTTAAACAAGCTCTTAAATATAAATAAAACTAAATATTAATTCATAATACATCCGCCAACTCTCAATTAGATATTCAAACTCAAATTTTATTTAATTAAGGACCTCACTAGCTAGCCATTTGAAACTATTTGGCACTAGTTAGCCATTTGAAGAGTATTTTTGAAAATATAATAATATTTTAAAGTATTTTTATTTAGAAATAAATTAAAATAATATATTTTTTATTTAAGAAAAATTATTTTTTATATCAAAACAATATGAAAACATAAAAAATAAAATTGATAAAAATAAAATTTAAGTTTTTAAAAAACATAATTTCAACATCATTTTCAAACACACCTTATTCATCTGGCCCCACACATCCCTTTTATATTCTCCTTAAACATAATATTTTAATAAACTATGATTTTTTGGGGGGTTGGGATCCTTAGCGAAGCCCATTGGATTTTGAGCTTCATGTTTTCTTCTACCTTCACCAACTAGGTCATCATGCAGCCGAATTGATGATGCAGGGTTGGACATGAGGGGAGGTGTATCCTTCGTTTAGCAAGAAGGATAAAAGCCCAACGAAGACAGAAAAGAGGAGAGATCCCTCTCTAATACTTCTTGGCGTGTAATTTTCAATCCTTTACCATCTACGTCCCTTCCATTTTATCGAATCCACTTGACAAACATACCATAAGATTTTGAAAAATCAAGGCAAAGATCAATAAAACTCCAGGGAATTTTGTTTTACGAATTCATAAAAGAATCGGAGGTTACAAAATCCGAATGATATACAAATCTGGCATTCCGTACAAGGAAAAAGAAAATACAGTACAGATAATTATTACAAAAAAAAAAAAAAACAACAATTTGATATTTACCTTGTACTTCAGTATTCAGATTGCTTTTGTGACTGCTCTTGAGGCAGCAGAAAAATTACAAGGCTTTAACCACCTTGAAGACTGTAGTTTTCTTTCCTGTGCGAACTGATCTCCAAAAAAATGTTGAATCTGCAACTTAATGAAAGTAAGATGGGCCATTAATACAAATCTAAAGTCAATTATCGCCATACATCCATATACATGTATATGCATGCATGGCCAGCATGTACGCATGTATTGAATGAACAAAGCCAATCATCACATATATATAATTCACTTCGTGGAAAGAGAGCAGCAGTCTAGATTTAAGCCATGTGTATGTGAAATGGATGAGTGTTCTGTTCTTAAACTAGTGGGCCTTTATCTGTGTCAGGAGGTCTAAGCATGTGTTACGTTATTTTAGGTGGAACTTCCTTGGAAGATTAATCAGTTTAACTAAAAATGAACGTATGCAAGCAAGCACATTAACACATGAATGCATGCATGATTCCTGAAACCGATTTGTTTAAACAGTAGTAGACCGTATCTACTGCAGTTGCAAATAATATGATTCCCTTCCAACAACTCTAAACGTGATCTTCTATATAGAGACTGCTTCGCAATAGAGAAGAAATCGGCCTGTTTCACATCCAAGGAAAGTAAGAGTAAAATAAGTGCTTTGCTTACCATAAACTGTACCCTAAATTTGGAAACAGCCAAATAATAATATCAATCCAATTGTTGCGATGCAGGCAGCATGTAGAATGCGAACTCACTGGAACCAAAAGAAAGAAAGCAAGAAAAGCAGGGAATCACTAACATTTTGAGAAAAATACAATGGCAAAAAGTTATAAGCCTGGAACATAAGACATGAAAACTAGCAGCTCTGATGCCAAAACAGGTCATGGTCTACCAGGTAGATGTATGGCCTGGGTCATGATTACTTATCCACTTAAACGGAGTGTCCATTCGCAGTAATTAGTAGTATGACCAAAGTAATGCATCAAGAGAGAACCTTAGAGACTAGCCTCATGGATCTTCTAGGAAGGACCTTTCCAGCGGAGCGCCTTGTGCTTCTTAAAATTATTGTGTCATGCTTGCCACAGCCATTTTGGCTCGCCCTGTCTACATGTGACCTCTTTCTAAGGAGTTCTTCACTTGATCTGAGAATTTCAGACTTCAAAGAAGTCTTACCAAATGAGTCATCAACCTGCGAGCATCTGAACGTGGCAGATTTGCATACAATCAGAAAATAGCATAAATAAAAAACAGTAGAAAAGGAGACTTCTACAGGAAAAATAAATTACACTGAACTCTCCCTGCCACTGATAGCATTGCTCCATTCCTGCAAAGGTGGAATGTGGTTTTAACTCATAAGCTTTACTGGGTATACTTGGCAGAAACCAAAAATAGATGTGGATATCTTACAGATAAGAAGTAAAATTTTGCATTTTAATAACTAAATATTGTTTCAACAAAGGTTCCATAATAGTAGTCACTTTTGCATGCAGCTGCAGTAATATAATCTGAATCATGGAATCTTTAAAATATAATTGGGCCTGTTTGGGATTGTAGTAGTGGTTGCGATTTTAAGTGCTTTTCACTTAGAAATACATCAAAATAATGTTTTTTTTATTTTTTTTAAATCATTTTTGTTTTCAGCACATTAAAAAGATCTAAAAACATAAAAAATAATAATTTTTATTAAAAAAACAATTTTCAAAATTTAATGGAACTCAATTTGCACCCTACAATTAGGATTACAATGAATGAACTGTCCAACAAAATAGTGGATGTGGACAACTCACAAGCAATAGCCAGAACTAAAGCTATTTTACAGAATAGTATTGGAAAATTCACTGACATTTGAATTAGTCAGAACTTTACCATAGGATCATCTATAATCATCAAAATCACAGTATGAAATATTGCAAAACCATGTTCTTTTCTTTTGGTAGATAAAGAGGCTGGAAAACCACTTTGCTATCCACCCATACTTCCAAATTCTCCTAAGAACTAACCTTAATGCAGGGAAAACAAAAGGAAACGAAGGGTCTCTACAGTGACAATATAATTTTAGATTTGACAGTGAGGCAGATGAAACTCCCATCCATAACTATTTGATAATTTGAAATAACTTCAGCCTCGTAACATTGCCTTGTGATGTATCTTGATCTCCAAGGTCTAATATGAAGAAAGTGGCAGGACATTTAGAACAATGGACATAGCCAGATGCCACATTTTCAAATCTAGATATAGTGGATGTCAAGAAAAACCATGAAAATGCAACATGGTATGTTCACCCAAAGTAGTAGAGAAAAGGTATAACCTGCTCTTCGGAGCATGCAGGCACCTGGTTATTGCAATGATTGTTCTCACTTGAGTTGGCTAATCCATCCTGCCCAGATCCTCCATTGTGCTTTGAATTACATGGATCCAAGAATTTGCCATTTTTATGAGGTAAACATGATGCATCTTTGGGATAATTTCCAGTTTCTGATAACTGCTGCATCTCCATAAAGCATCCAGGGAATACAACACTAGCATTCTCAAGATTACAACTGTTCTGCTGGGTTGAATTCTCACAAACTTCATCATCACGCTTTGAACTCTGATGCATCAATGCAATACAATCTACAGAACCGTTGGAGATGGAGTTTACAGCAAAATTGCAGGCTGTCTTTTCTAATATAGTGTCAGTGATATCTGAATCAGGGGCAGCGATGCTCTCCCTTTTACTACAGGATTCAGTGTTCAAAGTTTTCTGGTTCAGCCCATCGGAACTGGGTGCGGCTGAGGCAAGTCCTGGATCCACCTCCAAGGATTGCATAACATCTACAACTACACCACATGGTATTATGGGTGATGAGATTAGGGAATTATTACCTCCAACTGGATAACCATTACTCACATTAATATTTTGTCCTGCAACTGAACTTGGAGAAGGATCAGTTTGCACAAAGTCATCTCTGATTTGGTCAGAATCCGTATTCTCAAGAACAGAACTTTTCATTTTCTTATTACTCTCTCCAATACACCCAAGCTCTCGATAAAGTCTCCGAGACTTGGTATTAACCACATTGTCGCACAAAGAAACTTGATTTTTATATTTCTTAATCCACTCTGATGGGCTTGAATTCAGATCAACACAAAGTTTAATTCCCTCTTCCGAACTGACATGAAATTCAAAAGATGCTGGGACATTTGCAGTAGTTATCATAGAAGGCTGGGCATTCTCTTCAGAACTGACTATAGTATTTGCATCTGTACCATGAAATGGGGGCGAATCTTCTACCCTGCCTCCAAGGCTTAATTGGGGCTTATTATGGTTGACATGACTCCCAGCATATTGAGAAAAAAACTGAGACGGAGATACATCTCGAAAATCATTAATTAAGCCACCAAAGATTTCCTGTGGATATGTAATGACAACAAAATTAACAAGCAGGAAATCCGATTTTGCAGCACTTATAACGCAGATAAAAAGTCTTAAAATCAAGAGATTCCTTTGATATTGGCCTCTAACATCTCCCATGTTGATTAGCACATGCAGAATTTAAGATCCATCTTGAGTCAATCAAAAAGGAGGAATATGCATCATGCACGGTCCATATGGAAGCATTTCAATCATTCAAATCTTAATAAACACTTTCACCCAGGAAAAAAAAATAAAAATAAATAAACAAACCTTATTATGAGCTCCAGGCCCAATAAAACTTTCCAATTTATTGTATTTGAAATTTCTATTCCCTTTGTTAATCTCCTCTCTGGGACAAGATCTGAGTTCAAAACCATCTGAAACAGAAATAATGATCAGTTTTCATAAGAATCTATATCAATTTGATAGAAACTCAATTTACAATCAGAAATATAATACTAAATTCACTGAAATTAGAATCACAGAGTTTGGTGGTTTGCAGAGGCACAAACCTTGTATAGAATTTAATGCAGGCTTAGGCTGCAATGGTGGCATCAAAGACGTACAAAGTAAAGCATTTTGAACCCCACCTATGGTTGTGCTAGATGATACCAAACTCAAACCCTTCCTCTGCAAATATCAAGGCATCAGTGTTTCAATGTACTTGCTAACATGCAAAAACATTTTAACTGATATCAAAACAAATGCAGAACTCAAAATCTGTCTGTGTGCGGAAAAAAGAAAAAAATCCAAACCCTCATGCCATTAGCATACCATGCAAAACAATACTAAAACTTTCCTAATTTTCACAACTACCTCCTCAAATACATATAAAACTCATGAATAAATTCAAAATTAACAAAAAAGCAATTTCTAAAACTTATTAAAAACAAAATGGTAACATCTTCAAGAATGAACTGCACTCAATTGAATCAGATCCAATATTCATTATTTAACAAAAACTAGTAAGTACTTCAAAGTTTCGCCTCAAAAAGCTCATAGCAAATTAACATACCAATGATTCATAAAACACGTGGATGGTTTCAAATAAAACAAAAACTACGAATTTGGCATATAAAGCATGCCGATAAGTTCAAAAATCTCGAAAACATTTTCTACAACATACTAAAGAAACCGAATCATACTTCTTCAAGAACAAACCGTGCTCAACTAACTCAATTCCGCGATTCATTAGTTAACAAAATGCGCTTCCATGCCAACCAAAAATAGCATTTACTTCGAAAACTTTCTTCCTAAACAACTCATATCAATTACATACCATATATTCATAAAACACACAGATAATGCCAAAAAATATTAACAAAACTACAAATTTGGCAAACTATTAACAAAAATTAAGTTAAAAAACTTCTAAAAAAATTGCCTAATTTTCCAATTTAAGTCCTCAACACTACAAATTTAGCAAATTAATAACATAAATTGAGATTCCTCATAAAATAATTACCATAAAGTAAAACGCAAGCGATTCGACCATTTCGGAAGTTGATTTTCTAGCAGGCAAACTACATTGCTTACACAAACTTTGAAGTTCTTTTCTCGAAAGTTTGCGAAAATACTCCTTTCCATCCTCGCTCTCTTTATTTATCATCTGCAATTAGCAATTAATTAGCAAAAATAAAGACGAAATTAAAATATTAAGACATAATTAAGGAGCTAAAGTTCAGAAATTTTAATTCAAAAAGAAAATGAAGAGAATACAGCGCAAGAACAAGTCTCTAAGGAGAGTGTTTGGGTGTTTAGCGTACCTGATCGGATATTTTCCGGGAAGGATGGCGAGAAAGTGCAGGAAAATGCGAGAAAATTCTTCGCGTTTACTTAGCAGAGAAGACTGATGAGAGTCGGCTAATGCCGTGTTTTTATGGGTTTCAATTTTCAAAATCTTGCCTTTTCTTCTATTAATTAAATAAATTGAGGATATTAACTTTTTGGAAAATCTCAAGACAGTCCCCACATGTTTCATCTTTCAATTAGACTCTTAATTTATTAATAAGTTTTTAATTAGATCCTTTTGATGGTTTTGGTTGACAGAATTATTAAGTTATCATTTGCAATTCATGTAATTTCTCTTTTCGTGCAAAAAATTATCCTCCTCACATGATCTTAAAGTATCAGATAGTTTTATATTAAAAAATAAAAAATAAAATGATGTGAGTTTTATATGACTGCTAAATTATTTGATTAACTGAAATTAATTGAAAAATATGATTGAGATGTTATTTATTACCTGCATAAAATCAAATGATATATAAAATTGAATTGAATTAATAATTCATTATAATTTTTATGTTTGAAATAAAATATTAAACTATAAAATTAAATTCGATTATATTGTCTGAAATATATGAAAAAATGAATTGGATTAACAATCTAGATTATTTGATTAATATTTAAATTGAAATCTTTAGGATGAAATTGAACAAACAAATAAACTAAATAATGTTTACAAACTCTTACTAATAATTTATTAATTTATATAATTTTCAATTACTTGGACCTTATCTACATATCATCCCCTCTCAATGAAAGTTGAAGAGTAAATGCCAGTTAGGAATTGTGGTTATGGGTGAGAGTGATTATATACCACAAATATTAATATTTGATTAAGTTAAAAAATGAAATTTTCCTTCGGTGGAACCCGCTATACTTGCAATTGTGCCTCAAATTTAACAAAAGTGAAAAATTATTGTTTGTGTCCACGTTTCGTTTTTATATGCAGAATGAAATTTTCTTTCGGTGGAACCCGGTATACTTGCAACTGTGCCTCAAATTTAACAAAAGCGGAAAATTATTGCTTGTGTCCACGTTTCGTTTTTATATGCAGAATGAATTATAATTCAATCCGCAAAACTGTACAAAGTGAGTTTTTAATTTATTTTGCACTGTTCACTTCAAACTAAGTTTTTAATTAAATGAAAAGTGTAAAATTAATTAAAAACTCATTTTGCACAGTTTGGCTTGCCCATTATTAATGGTGGATCCAGCATAAATTTAAATATATTAGACTGGGTTAAGCGAAAAAATTAATTTTTAAAATTTTTAATTATATTTTATTTAAAAAGTTAGTATTTTATTTTATTCAATGAGACAACATCAATTAGAAAGAGATAACATGATGGTGTAATATTTATATAATTTAAATTTTATTTTTAATGATATTTTACATAATCTTGTTACTTGCTAAAAAAACTATAAAATTATAAATTTTGTCGGATGAATTTATATAAAGAATTAGCTATTTTATGATATAATAACATTATTTAAATCTATAATATTTTAATTAAAAATATTAATATTAATATATATCTTTTTTAATTATTTTATAACTTTAAATTAAAAGGTATTATTAACCAAATACATTAAACTATTTTTTTATTTAACCTCAATTTCGATTATAGTTTTAACCAAACATATATAAATACGAAAATAACCTTAACTAAAAATATTTTTTATAAAATAATTTTTTTTTCATCACAATCAAAAAAACTACCACATTATTAAATACACTTTTAAATTTAATTTTATCAAAAAAAATCACGAGGATTTGGTTCCTCATCCTCACCTTTTATATATATATTAAAGCATTCTTCAACCTCCCCTCAACCTCTCAACCTTTTCTATTACTGGTAACATTTTATAATTCTTTAAAGTTTATTTAGAAATATAGTTGTAGTTGTTTTTTATTTATAAATGTATTAAAATAATTGAACATATATTATAACAATATTTTTTATTTTTTAAAAAATATTTTTGATATCAATACATTAAAATAATATAAAAATACTAAAAAAATATTTAAAAAAAAAAAAAATCAAACTTTTTTAAAAACTCCTTTTCAAGTTATTGGTAAAATATTTAGGAACAATCAAGATAATATCAACCAAACAAGTTTTGCCGAATAAAAAAAACAAAAAAAAATCTATCAATTAGCATAAAAAAATATGTGTGTGTGTGGGTGTGTGTGTGTGTTAAAGCATTCTTCAACCTCCTTTCAAGCTCTCAACCTTTTCTATTACTGGTAACATTTTATAATTCTTTAAAGTTTATTTGGAAATATAGTTGTAGTTGTTTTTTATTTATAAATGTATTAAAATAATTTTTTTTATTTTTTAAAATTATTTTTAAT